ATATTTATATATTTACGGATCGGATCGGATATCCGCTTTCCAAAATTTTAATATTTGTGATTTGCTTCGATTTTAACGGATATTGAATTTTAGTATTTGCTTTGATTCGAAAGTTTACGGATATCCGGAATTTTCGGATCGAATCGAAACGAATAACGGATCGAATCAAATATAACGGATAAAATGCCCAGCCCTAAGTATCATACTATGTATATAAAGATGATGGACCTTGGAAACTGCGATAGCTTCCTGAAGCCCTTGCATGTGGAGAGATGCTTTTCTTTTGTAAAACACTTTGCTTTTTTTTCTTTTTTAAATAAATACTTTTATTCCAACCTGAGAACCGGGAATTCAGTATACAAGTTGATTTGAACAAAAGCATCTGAAATCAAATGTTACAATATATAGTAGTTTTCCTACCCTAAACCACCCAGCTCATTTTGTTAGATTGCTCCCAATCCTTCAGATGCCGGTTACTCTAAACACCTCGACTTTTGTTCTTTTTACTTGGTTGTTTTCCTAAGGTTATATACTACTGTAATTTTAAAATCAAAATCGTTTTTACTCTCACAAAACCAAATATGATTAGTGTATTTATTAGTCCGAATCAAATTTAGTTTGGCAAATATATTTGCAACAAAAATGAACCAAACTCATTAGTTTATATGATCTATTTAAAAATATTTTTTATTATATCAAGCAAGGTATAAGTTTATACGTAAAAGGCTTGCTACAGGTTATAAGTTCAGTGCACCATTTTTAATAATGAAAGGGATAAACTTTAAAATTCATTAAAAAGGACAACACATTGGTGGACATCAACAGAACTCCAAACTCCGACGTAGTAAATTGTCAAATTATGCACGCCCGCATTACATCGCAAAATCATAACTAAAATCAGGATAAATAAAAGTTTCCAATAATACATCGCACGTATGGAAATCTTCAGAATATTTATTTATGTAATTGATATAGTTGTTGAACTTTGAACAGCCAGTTGGTTTTGGTACATAATGCATGTGTTTTTATGTGGCCACTGGTCAGGATATCCTTGTTTAATGAAATTATATTTCGATCTCCATAACTGAAGCCAATTTAAATGGACATACCTTAATTAATAATAGTTTGCAAATAAGGTCATATGAAAAAACATCCGACTTTTTGTGAAAAGAGTAGAATCATCTACTGGTATTATCGAAAAGAAAAACCATTGTGGATGCAACATAATCAAAATGAAGATAAAACAGTAATCTGCATGCTCTAGAAAGCTGCTTCAAACATACTCTTCATCTTAATTTAATCCTTTTTTGTCGGAATTTTAACATAAAAACCCCTCAACTAAGTTTGTTTTGGATAAAAACCCCTAAACTAAGTATTTAATGAAAAACCCCCCAACTAACTTTACTTAATGAATTAAACATTTGCCAGTCATAATTACCAGTACTACTGGTAAATCTTTAGTTTAGGGGTTTTAGAATTAAACATAAAAAAAAATTAATAACCTTATCTAAAAATGCGTAATTTTAATTTTCAAAATTAGCATTTTAATTTTTTTTTGTAAATATATGAGTGATTTCTTATCTTTTTAAAATGGATTTTAACTCTAAAATACCTCAACTAAGTTTGTTTTGGGTAAAAATCTCCAAACTAACAAGTAAACCTCCATATTAAGTAAACATAATTGAAGGGTTTTATCATTAAAAATAACAAAGTAAAATTAGAACATTATCTAAAATTAGTAACTTAAATTTTTAAAATTAGCATTTTAAAAACTTTCAGTAAATATATGAGTTTGATTTATTTTAACATCAACATTATATATATATATACATATAAATTAAAATTGTAAAACAACAAAATATAATAAAAATCATCTACAGATTTATTATTACATTTTTATTAGATAAGATATAATTTTTATTTTGTTTTCTTGTTTTTTTTATTTATAACTTTTTGACAATTTTTATTACAGGTAGATATTTATATAATTTTTGTTATATTTTCTGGGTTTTTATATTTTAAATTTATACATATATGATGTTGATTTTAGAAGGATAACAAATCAGAGTCATATATTTACAATTTTTTAAAAATGATAGTTTTGAAAATTCAAATTACAAATTTTTAGATAATGTTATTATTATTTTTTATTTTGTTTTTAATGATAAAATCCCTAAACTAAAAAGTTAGTGGTAGTACTGGTAATTATGACCGGTGATGGTTTAATTCATTAAATAAAGTTAGTTTGGGGTTTTTTCGTTAAATACTTAGTTTAAGGGTTTTTACCCAAAACAAACTTAGTTGAGAGGTTTTAGTGTTAAAATTCCTTTTTTGTCACAACAACTTAATTTAATCCTTATTCACGCTTATTTATGATTATTACCCACTATTCAGATTTCTTAATTGTTTGTTACTTCTCTTTTGCTTGATTCGTTTTAGTTGTTTAATCCTTCGCTTGCTTTGTATGTTAGTACTAGTTAACTTTGAGTCTCTGATTAACTTTGAGTCTCTGATTGCCTTGTTTAATTGTCGGCTTTATAGATTTAAAGAAAAAAAGCTTCCAACTAGAGAACTTTTGCCTTAAACTTTAATCCAATTCTTAGTAACAAAAAAACTTAAACCAATTCTTCAGTCTATCTTTATCCTATATATAAGAAACAAATATCTCTCTAGAACTGAAACTACATCGATATTTACTTCTCAGAACATCCAAAATGAAAAGAGAAAAAATGATTAAGATAAATAATTAAAGGATTATTTTGCAACATGGAACTTTATGTTTGATTGGTTGTCAACGTAGGAAGAGGATCAATAAGATTTGATTCGGATCCATATTTTTTGAAGTATTCAGAAAATAATATGACACCACTTGAAAAAAACAGAAAGAAGGATATGGACAGTGTAATAATGTAGCAGGCAAATGCATGTGCACGAAATCTACGGTAGATATTATTTCAAAGTTTATAAACTAGTTATGGTGTATACATGCGTTCCAATATGCTAAGTAAATTATTGTATTATGCTATGAGATAATATAATAATATAAGCTAGTGGTTTTTACTGGTGTTGTAATAATAGCTTCACCATCAAACTTTGAATATGCATATATATGATTTGATATTTAATTTTTCTGTGTGCATCAGCTTCATAGGCGTCTGAGTTTTTGCTTTGCATGCTAGTAGCAAATTTGATCAAACTAAACCAAAGCTTAGGCTAAATAAAAAAAAAATTGATCAAATTAGAGCATAGTAAAATCGTGAGCGTCCGCCGGTAGATCGAGGCCGATGACAGTTTCTCTCAATGAATTGTTTTAGATAAAAATATATATGATTACCACTCAAAATCTACTTGGATGTATTAGACATAGTATAACTCAAAAATTAAGTTTACTTATTAATTAAAATGAAAGTGGCGTCATTACTAAGAAAGAATATTAACTCGTCACCATCTGATCTACCAAGTGGCACACACCTATTAGTTCCTTGTCTTTAAAAATGTGACCCTTTGCTAATTTTTTTTTTGGAACACCACCCTTTGCTAATATTTATTGAGTTACTAAGGCTAGGAGAGATGTTCAGGGGGTCACATGATTCACGACACACTTATATATATATATTCCAACTTATAATTGGTATTCTTTTGGCAGATTATGATAATTGTAGCTAATATAATTAATTGACGTGCGATTCATTTATAGAGCATCCTTAGTCTAATAGTGCTAGTGCCGAAAACTCGTCCTCGCGTATAAAGCAGCCACAACAAGATTTTTATTTTGAAATACAATAATCAAAAATTCTTAAACGTTCAGGTTTCCAACTAGATGGAGAATTAAACAACTCTCTACGAACACAAGAGAACATACAATATACTGTAAGGTTTAGAGAGATATTTAGGAATAAGATGACAGAGAATTCAGACTACTTTGACGAGAAAAAGAGAATGTATAAAGTATTTATTGAATCTGCAATATGAATATAACTTTTGAACAGACTATAATATGCAATCGATCATCTCTTAGTCGTTTTACGTTATATTATATAGTTCGATTGCTTTCCTTCTTCAGCTTTTCAAGTAAGTCCCTTAAAAAATGTTTATCTACGTTGCAAAAAAAAATACGGGTTATTTCAGTATTTTTGACAGCCAGCACATTTATATATAAATCTACTCTATTAAAATAGAGTCATTCATTTTATCTACTGATACAAGTTGTCATTTAAATTTGGACTATTTCTAAAATGTTACAAATAATATAAGTCATATAATTGATTGAACCGTATTACTTAAATTAAACCAACACAATTAATGTAAAGAGACGATCTTAATGTAAACTACCTTCAAAATATGGCAAGTATCTATGTGTATACCGAAAAAAACATATTTTCTCCTACAAATATGGAATGTTCTAAAAGAATATATATCATCAAAATATGGAATATGGAAATCTACTAATTATACTTAAATTTAACCAGTGGTTATTTATGGAATATAGTCTTGGTCTTACTTTTATTTTTTGAACAAATTATATAGTTTGGTTTTTGGGCTTAGTATTAAGAAAAAAACTCTAAAAACATGGAATAAACTTTTCACCTTAAAAGATCAAAAAAATCAATTATTATTTTCAGACGTAAAAGGTATTTAATATTGTTAACAAAACAAAATTATCTATTATTAATCATTTATTTAAATCATGTACTTTAAAACATGTTAATATATTTTTTATTCTAAATAACAATCACTTTGTTTTGATAAATTTCAATAATAACTTTTAACTAATTTATTGTTTTATTTTTCTTAAATAATTTACTGATTAAAAAAATGTAAAGCAAAACCAAAAACTAAATTTAAAAAATAAAATCCAAAATCAAAAGCTGAAAACACATGTTATTTTTTTTTTTTGCTTTGTTTATTTACAAAATAAACTATTTCAATTTTTTTTTAAAAAAAATTGTTGTCATCTTTTCAGTTTTGAATTAGATGTTCGATTATTTGAGATTTGTTTGTTGGTAATATTAGTTCAAACTAACTCAGCGGGTTTAAAAATTAGAAACCCAAACCAAAAACTGAAAATGAAAAGTAGAAACTTAAAAACTAAAAACCAAAAACCAAAAACCAAAATCTAAAAATAAAAACTGAAACTAAAAACTAATGAAAATTGATTTTATATCAAAATATTCTTTAAACTAAGACAAAACGCAATTATATAAATTTTTGATAATAAAAGTTTTCCGCGCTTTCAAGCGCGGCTCAAAATCTAGTACATGATTAATTATTATATAAGAAAACAAATATACTGTGAGAAAGTTATGATGCGGCATGAAAAAAAAGTAAACAAAATATTACACAAATGCTCAAGTGTTAAGCTATGGGTGTATATTTATAGATTTGTTCGATTTAGATTTATATGAATATCTAAAATTACGATATGATTTTTGTATCTACTCTTTAGCTTTTGGATCGATTTGCCAAGTAATTGTTGGTTTTAATTAGATTGTGCATCTAGTGTGTACCCGATAAGATTTCAAAATTGTGATTTCATTCTCCAAATATATAAGATATCGATCAGAGTTTATCAATATTTTTTTCATAAAGTAATATCGATGTAAATCATGGGAATAAGGTAAAAACACTAGTAAACATGAAATATTATTACTTTAATTAAATAAAGTTTTAGCATTTTATGATTAATTAAAAAAAATTAAGCTCAAGTTATAATATTTTACCACTATATAATACTGATATTGTAAACATATAAACCAATTATTATGTTATTTTTGTTAAAACGCCGCATTTACTAAAATTACAAAATAGTTATAACAAATGCATTAAAATTTCTTCGATGGACCATATAGCGCACGTGAAAATACTGAAATAACCCGTTAGCTATTCAGTTCTGTAGTTATGTGGTCCAGTATGTGAATGATATTGTAATAATTAAGATCCAATATATATTTATATTTTAATTTTTGTAGTCTTTTGTGTTGGAAGTCATCCAAAAACGATGAAAATAGGAAAAATAGATGATAAATCATGATTAAAATATCGCACAATCATTGTAATTTATTAAATGATATATTTTTGTCAGAATTAATTTTGAAATTAAATAAGGGCATAAAATAAAATCTATGTAATGTATGTGTGTATGGAACGTATCTAACGAAATCTGGACACAATCTCGTCCAGCTATGCAGTAGTTACTGATGATCTTTTAAACAAAACATAAAAAGATTATTGTTTTCTTTCTAAAAAGATAAAATTAAAATCTTATAAAGAAGAGACCACCATTAGACATCTCTTCGATTCCTCAGCTCAAAAGCTAACCAAACCAACCCCACACACACACACAAATATAGTTGGGTCTCTCTCTACCGAAACTTTCTCTCTCTAGGTATTGATTAACATTTTCTCCAGTGTATAAACCAAGAAATGGGTAGTAGTTTCTTTGGGAGACCAAAAATGGGTGGATCTTCTTCTTCCTCACCAACATCTTCTTCTCCAGCAAAGAGAGGGAAGAACAAGAATGGTTCTGATAAGCCTAAGCAGCCACAGAGAGGTCTCGGGGTGGCACAGTTAGAGAAGATTAGATTACACAGCGAAATAAATTACAGTAGTTTCGGTACTTATCCTTCTTATCATCCCTCAACTTATAATCATCAGGTAAAATTTCCACATACATATATATATATATATATCTAGTTTCTTTTTTTTTGGGGGGAGTCAAATATATCTAGTTTCATTCATCTAACCTTTAAAACATTATCAAAATTAACTTTGTTATTGATCATGATAGCTAATGTTTGAAGAACGTATTTGCTTTCATCTATGTGTGGGTTATAAATTAAGATTTTGAAGCAAAGGTTTAGAAAGAAATCATATTTTGCATTTATAGCATAACATCATGATCATTCATAGCAAAAAGCTTATATATTTTTCAGTTACAAAAAGTACTTTTTAGAATTTAAAATCGAAATTAATTATAATGTTTTGGATACAGTTTGTTCATTTGTTTGTTTCATATAATTGACTAATTCAGGAGGATGTGAGGTTTCAAGCAGAATATTCATCTATAGCATCATCAACTCATTATGGTCTTCATCCAAACATGATGGTAAATATATATGTTACATTCAGCGTTTCATGTCTTATATATACAGTATATAATGTACTAGTTAAATCATTAATTTGATTTCACAAACTAATGATACACATACATCGTTGTTCTTAAATGCATATCTTTTTAGATTATACTAATTTCAATCAGATTTCTTCATTGAAGTCGAAATCATTTTCTTTTCGAACATCTGAAGTGATCATAATACGAAATTTTTTTAATTATGATTATCATGTTTTCTGAATTTCAAGCTAAAAGGAATTTCTTTTAAAAAAAAATTTCAACATTTTTATACCGAATTTTAATTATATACTTATTAACTAGACATAAACTGAGAACAAATAAAATAAGTCTATTTAACTAAACTCAAGGTAAATAATAAGATGTAACACGTTTTTATTAAAGCACTTTTTCGTTATTATATTTCCGATCTTGCAGATGAATGCTAGTAATGATCAATGCGAGAGAACACCCGTAAGATACAGAGATTCTCAGCCTCACATAGCAAGGTCTGTACACATGTTATAACTAGATTATAAATACATGTATGATATTTAGTTATGTGTTATGGTGTTTTTATACATATATACATTTATGTGATATAAAATAAAGATATGTGATATATAAATATAGGCTAACGGTTTTTACAACACATGTACAGTTGGAACCCGAGATACGGCATCTTGGAGAGCCAACATTTTGTGGAGCATAACATAACCAGACACTTTTTACATGAGGTTAGTACTATAATATTATATATTGTGTCAATATATTTAATGGAACTTAATTTGATATGATCATCTGTGTTCATTGTCTCAAAATTGTGGCTTAATAGTATATGGATCTCTGAATGATTTTCCGTATAATGATATAGGACCAGAGAAATACAATGGGATCGGGTATCGAGAACTTCAAAACGAGTGACACAACTGAGCCAGATTTGGAGTTGAGATTGTCACTTTGAGTAATGTATGAACTCATGTTATTTTAAAAGAGGCCATGGATTTGTCATACACTCAGAGCAAAATTAGAAATAAATAATACATAACTTAGGCTATCATTTGATCTTATTTGATTTTTGGGTATCGGATTTTGATATCAAGATGTTACCTTTTCTAAAGAGTATGTTTGTAAATAGATTTTTCTGAATGATAAAAAAAAAAAGTAAAACACGATGACTTCGTGGGAAGTCACCAATCTTATTACTATTTTCGTCCAAACACGCTTAATTACAAAGTTATGATGAGATCCAATGCATTAATTCTGATATGATCGCACAGTTGTTGCTAAGCCGTCATAAAGTCTATCTCCATATATTACTAAGCCATGCATACACAGTAGATAGATTATTTAATAAAAGACAGAAGATCATGATCAAGGTACGTATGATTGATCTGCAGTATGGAAATATGTAGTACGTATAATACCAGAATAAAAACTGTATACCTATTCTTCTTGTGTAGTTAGCACATACTTCAAATTACGTAAGGGAAGAGGATGGTTTAGCATACTTACACATCCTAATTAAGAAAGCAAAATCTTCGCAAAAGTAAGTTCTGATCAATTTAAATGTTAGTCATACTTTTATATGATTAGATGTTGTAAGAAGAGCCAAAAAAGGCACAACGTCATAAAAATGGTGTTGACTGCTTTCTTTTCTAATTATGATTACAGTTAATTGTTATGTAAATTGAATTGCTTCTTCAGTTTATTGTGGTAAAATAAAAATAGAAGGGATAATATTATTTGAAATGATAGTGACTAGTGGCACTGAACTAATAATGATAAGAAATGAAAAATGAAAGTAAAAGTTTTGAATTATACAATCATGATCTCTGAACAAAACGCGATCAACCTTTTCTTTTACTCATTATCAAACCTTTTCTCGTACAATATTTGTCTATTTACCATTGATCGAGATTTATTGTGAATATAATATATAAGAATATTCCAATACTAATCAATCCCCACCGAAAGTTATTTTTGATTGCTCAATCACTAGCTAGATTTGATTGCTTTTTTATCATAACAAATTTACAACACGTTCTAGTTATGTCTTAAATATTTAGTCCTTTGTGAATGTGAAAATATCAGAATGAAGAATCGCAGCTTACAATGTTGTTCAAAAAGGCAGGATGAACACGCTATGGACGGGTCCCATACTCAGAAGTAAGTAAGCAGAACCAACGACATAAACAAAACAATGATCTAAATTGCAATGTTTAGCGGTTTCTAAATTGTCGAGTTTTGATCAAACCCGGTTATTAAAATAATAGTAGTTACAGTACAAAAGAAATCGTATTTTCCTATAACAATATACATGATATGGCTAAACAAATATTTTTGTAAAATTCTGATCAACAAGAAATAAAACTAAAAAGGTATGGAGATTGGAGTAAGAGAAGTGAGAAGCTTATCAAAAAAAAAAGAGAAACTGATGACAAGGTCATCGACCCCATTAGTGTAGTCTTACGCACGTTTTTTTCCTCGGCTTCTGTCACAACCGCGTGAGCTAACACTGTCCATGTTATTCTAATTTTGTTATCAATTTTAAAATTATTAAAATCCACATAGTGGTCATTAAAAATTTTAGAAAAAAACTAGTCCGATGTACCCTTTTAGCATAGTCATTTCCTTACATACAAGAAAAAGTTTTTAAATTATCATGTTGTTCAATTAATGTATACAAACTTCATTCGCTGCACGTCGAAACTAATATGCTTCTTGAACAACGTCAGAAAATTCGAATTTTTAGAAGTTATATATAAATATAGCCTTCCTCACAACCAAATGATCAAATAGTGTACCAATTCAAAACGTTTCAAACAACACTCAAATTTGTAAAATGGTCGGTCTCCGAGTGCAAACGCTAATCTTCCTTCTGGTGACCGCGTTAGCGATTCTGGATCGTACCTTTGTGGAGGCAAACTTCGACAAGAATTTTATTGTTACATGGGGTAAACATCATATTGGTACGAGTAATGGCAACCTTCGACTTGTCCTCGACAAATCTGCAGGTATATTTTGTAATATGTAATATCATCGACATATATTATGAGAGACTCTGATGCATAATAAAATTTGTTTTCTTTCAGGATCTGCTATTCGCTCAAAGGTTGCTCACTTGTTCGGAACTGTAGAAATGCTTATCAAACTTGTGCCAGGGAACTCTGCTGGAACCGTTGCAGCTTATTACGTAAATATTCATCTTAAAATCAATGAATTATTACGAAATTATTCGACAAAAGTTGGTTAACGTTATTTTTTATGAGAGTGATGATAGATAATTCTTTTTTTTTTTTAATATTAGATGTCGTCCACGGGAACTGCACACGACGAGATAGACTTTGAGTTCCTAGGGAATTCCACTGGCGAGCCGTACACGATCCACACCAACATATTTGCTAAAGGGAAAGGAGATCGCGAGCAACAATTCCGACCATGGTTCAACCCGACCAATGGTTTCCACAACTATACCATTCATTGGAACCCAACCGAAGTTGTGTAAGTAATAGGACTCCTCTCGTGTCTTAAAGTTTTACAACACTATACAAACAAAGCTAAGAACATATGTTTTATCATGAAATAGTACATTAAAAGCACAACTAATTAAATTAGAAAAGTATAAAACAGATTGTTGCTTTTTTGATGCATGTAAACATTAAAGTACACACTTCTTGATAAAAAGTTGTATGTTCATAAACTTTTATGAGTTTTAACCCAAAAAGAACTTCTGAGGATCCAAACGATTGCATGTTTTCTTAATAATAGTCTTACATATATAACTAAATGTAAACGAACTTACGTACGTATTAGTTCTACATGTCAGACATTGTTGGGCCCAAATATGGCCCGTAAGCTGAAGATAGCGAATTAGTTAAACCAGGCCCAATAATGGGCCGGATATGGGTTAATACCGCGAAGAAGAATACAGCTCACCTAAGGAAGGGAGCTGATCTCGAGAAAGAGGTCACGAGAAAGAGGTCACAAGAAAGAGGTCACGGAGAACAGGTCCGGATTCTTTCGTAGGGACCTGACAAAACAGCCTAGGTAACGGAGACAGAAACGTGCAAGACTTAGTCAAGGGGAAGCTGTTGCAAATCCCGCAATTCACGGAGATAATCGCGGAGGCTTCGCCGGAAGGAGTTGGACGTGACCTAGTACTATATAAAGGAAAGAAGAGATCAGAGGAAGGGATTCGACTCATTCAAGATAACAAGACTCCAATACACATTGTTCTTAATCATTCTTGATCAATCATTGTTCTTTCCATTCGATCATCGAGATCATCCTTGTAAACTCTTTATTACCAAAAATCAATATAATCAACGTATTCATTTTCTAAGTTCTTAAGGGATTCAGCCCACGATTGTCTTCTCCCCAATCCTAACCTAACCTAAACTAGGAAGTGAGATTTATCCCTCACATTTTGGCGCCGTCTGAGGGGACGAGATAATTGAATCCTTCACTCCGTAACTTGAGAATGGATCCATCCAACCAGGCAACGAATCCATCCATCCCGGATCCCGTGATCCAGATCGACGGATCGCCAAACAGAAGAGATCCGGACCCTCAGGATCCGGAACCTCAACCCGCCGACCTCCGATCCGAGCAACAGCCCCCGGCTAACGCTCAACCGATCCGAACTGGGATAACTAACCCAAGGTCTTCCGGTGGAAACAACACCGGGGCCACTTTTCCCGAGAACTCTCAACGTCAGCACACTCCGCATCATTCGGAAGCTCAGCTATCCGAAATGCGCCGAATGATGGTGCAGTTGGTAGAAAGAGCTCAGGACAACGAGCGTACCTTGCAACAGCTAACTGCCCGGCAACAACGGTTCGAAGAGGTGACGAGATCTCTAACCGAGACAACTCAGCCATCGCAACGCCAAGGCTCAGGAATCGCCTTTCAAGATCGACTCACCGAACCCACGTTCCCTCGCGGACGCCTGAACTTTTCCCCCAACAGCATTGCTCATAATGGGCAAGAGTCTGTTCTCCGGACACCTCATACCGGGGCATCCCCAGTATTTAGTCCACCCGTAACCAGTGCTATGGGAAGTAACATAGCGACGACTAGCTCGGCACCCAATAGGGATCACGAGCACAGCACCCGATTGCCACCTCCGCCACCTATCTTTAGGTCCGGAGAAGGGATGTCTCCCCCTCCTAGAGGCAGGGCTCCGACCTCAGCTTACCAAAATGGAAGCACGACTCATAACCGAGACAACTCGAGGACGGAAGCTGATCCCACAGCTCACCCCCTGGGTCACATCCCCCAAAGTGGCTCTAGAGCTAGCGAGCGATTTAGTCCACCTAACGCTTGGGACAACGGCAACGCTCAACTCCACCAAGAATCTTCCCATCAGATTCCCCGCGAAGATCCAACTGCCCTTCCTCTAGAAGGACCTGAGGCTATTCGCCGATACATGGAGCAAACCCACGCAGCCCTCCAGAAACTGAACGCTCAAGTGCATAAAGCAACAAGCTCAGCTCCCGAAATCGAAAGCTTGATTGAGGAAACCCGTGGGACCCCATTCACAGACAAAATCGCTAGCTCTTACATAAGAGATACCCGAAAAATTAGGATTCCCGAATACGACGGGACCTCGGACCCCAAGGCTCATTTGAGAGCCTTCCGCCTAGCTATAGTGAAAGCTCATTTCACACGTGAAGAGTGCGAAGCAGGTTACTGCAGGACTTTTGCCGAGAACCTGGTCGGAACAGCTCTCGAATGGTTTTCGAGCCTCGAGCCGAACTCGATCGATAACTTCGATCAACTCACTAACGCTTTCATGAAGCAATACTCGACCCATATCCTTAAGCAAGCCTCCGAGGCCGACCTTTGGAAGATCAGGCAAGGGATGGGAGATTCGCTACGAACCTACATCGAGAAGTTCAGAGCTGTTAGAACTAAGCTCTCGAACCCCAACGATCAAGTGGCCATCGAAGCTCTTAGAAGAGGTCTCTGGTATAAATCAGAGTTCTGGTCCGAGCTGACGCTTAACTCTCCTCCAACTATCGACGACGCTCTTCACAAAGCTTCGAGATACATTACCTTGGAGGAAGAAACAGCTGCATTGGATAAAATCCATAAGAAATCCCAG